CAAGACGCAGGCGAGCTGGTGAACAATCAGAATTAAATATGAAAAACTTTGAGACGAGAAAATAAAAAAAAATAAAAACATACCCCACCGTCTCAAAAAATTAAAAATAAATAAATAAACGGTGGCGTGTTTGTCTGTACTATAGCTTCCTCTATACTCACAAAGCCTGGCAATTTGACGGCGGAGCCATAGATGTGCCCGGTCGCAGATTTGGAGCGCGAGGATCTGGTAGCACAGAGCACCAAAGAGTCATTTCTCGGGGAACCTGGACGTCAGCGCACAGCTTTTGCAGCGGCGAGGACCCGAAACACACTTCTTCGCTCGGGAGAAGTGTGTTTCGACCTCTCGCCGCAACGGGGCGCCAGTCACGTGGCTCTCCTCATCCGTTGTCTGCCATTTCGGCGACCGCATCTCGTGACGATCTGCCGGGCTTTGTCAGTATATAGGAGGCTATGGTATGTCCTATTTGCTTCTTTGTCTCAAAATTGCTGTTTTTTTTTGTGTGTGTGTTTTTTTCTTTTTTAATATGATGCGTCACGCAGCTTTTTCTTGTTATTTCCGAACAATTGAAGACCGCGCGCGAGCACAGCTGTGATCGGCGCTCAGTGTGTACGAGCGCACGGGTACCCATAGCTTTGACCTCATTGCCAAGAAAGAAAAGCCCGCGTAAAGTGAGAAACGTTTCTAAGCGTGGGAACGTAAAATTTTCTCACTGGATAAGTTTTCTAGAACGTATAGCACCGTTTGGTGGGGATTTTTTCCTTTCGTTATGCAGTTGACCGAATGCGAATTCATTTCTTTAAGGCCGGAACATGACTGTAATTTTAATTAGATGTAATCGGTAATGATATAGGCGATACCATAAAATAGCAACGATACATAGATCTCTCGTCTGACATTTATGACTGACGAAAACGTCAACTACTACGTTCCCGAAAAAAAAAAAAAAAGAACATTGTTATAACAACGTTACAGGCAATGCGCTATTTCCTTCACTGCATTTCGGGGGCAGCGCCTGCATAGACATCTTTCTTCGGTCCCGAAGAATATCGGCGAGAACACAAAACACAGCTTGTTGATCTCTTAGCAAAGCCAGGCGCTCTGACGTTGCGTCCAGATTCCCGGTTGGCGGGTTTCGAATTTCAGCCGAGTGTTCCGGGTTAGAATATCCGGTGTTCTCATGAATATGGGTTTCCACGTAAACTGCCTAGCGTTACAAGTGAAACGGCAGAGGGACGGAGAAGACAATACAGTCGACAATAAACTTTCTGCATTTCATTTCCGGGTGGTTGTAGAAAATGTATACTCGTCAGGGTAAATTGACGATAATGATGAATTGCTAACCAATCCGGACAAAAGCTGTCAATGTGTAGTAGACAAGATGCGATTTTAAATGACTTCGTTAGAGCTTCTACTCTTCTTTTAAATGTGTCTGTGGTTTCTGATAACAATGTTTATTTATTTACTGCGTATTTTTTTAACCATGTCTCGCAAATTGTTGGTTCAACTGTAAGCTTGCCGCTTATTATTTTTCCTTTGACCCAGGGATTTTCGCATCCATTGTATATTATTCGCTTATTTGGTACTCTGATTCGTTACCGAATTGTTTACGATCGATATTTTGAGCAAGGGTTTTTTTACGACTACTGACTTTCAGCTGACAAACGATGTCAATGCGAAGAGTTGCGTGAGGTGTTTTACTGTTGCATACAATAGTTCCTGGGCAGATAGCAGCGTGCTATGGGGCCACGAATGAATTTTGGGGTGGGATAAATGATTTCAGACGGAGAATTTACTAATCGCTTATCGTTTAGTGGGCCAGAAGAATGAGGGTAGGAAGTCAGAAGCCAGCTTTTCGGTACGAACATTTGAAAATATAGCGGCCTATTTCGTACCTCGTCTCCTTCAAAAGCTGCTCTCCTTTTTTCCACTGTGATACATCCGTGGTACCCAAAACACGTCAGCCGACCCCAGCTCACGTATTGGACACGAGAAGTGCGTCACTCGGGCGTATACGCTCGTCAACTATCAATCCGTCGACGAATATTTGGATTCGCGTTCGTGGTGGCCAATGAGTGCTTTAACGGACCTTATAATCACTGGGGAAGGACGAGTCCCATGGTGAAGCACGGTGGATGCTTGGAGTCATCGCACCTGTGCCCAAGCATGTCACGACGGCGTGATTTCTTGATTCGCATTTGAGTTGAGGATTAAAGCTAAAGAGGAAGATGTTAAAAAAAATTGTTTCATGACCTCTTTAACTGTCTTGTTCCTCTCCGTTTCAGCAGATACTCCTCTCTTTTTTTTTCTTCTTTTTCTTTATCCTTATTTTTAAAAGATACGTCCGGTCATCCGCATACACAAGTACGTCTTTAGACACTTTTGCATATTATGTTTTTTGTTTTTTTTTAAACGTGAACTCGAAACTTTGCTTTGTACGTCAAAACCATATCATTCCTTTTTTTAATGTTTGTGGTCCATGTATAGGTCCTACTTAGATGCTATGTTTTTAGGGGGTGTTATTTTGTTCAAATTAAGAAACATCCTTTTTTTTATTTTTTTTTTGTCTAACTTTTGATGTGTTTCGGTGTATCAGAAAGATATCCGTTTATCGGGGTTTGCGTTGAAGGAAGCACGTCCGTGGGATTTCCCAACCTCCAGGGAACATGCGCATGACCCGAATACTTGAACAATGTCCCGATAAGGGATAAGTGTACCGATAAGTACAAAACATGCTAAGGGGCGCGGTTCTTAAAGAAAGCAGCAGCCTCGCTGACGGTTCAGTAAGAGCTATAATCCGGGTTAACACTATGTAAAGCCCTCGACAAATATTTCTTCACTTGAGGTTTGGTTTCTTTTTCAAAAACAACTCCGATTCGTGTTTTTTTTAGAGCGCAGCTCTTAGGGGCCCGTTCCCGGCTTGAGCGGCGTCGCCGTCGCCGTCGGCGTCGGCGTAACCAAGGTCATCCCAAGGTCACGTGGCCCCAAGGTCATCCCAAGGTCACGTGACCCCCAAGGTCACCCCAAGGTCACGTCACCCCCAAAGGTCACGTGACCCCTCCCCCAGGGTCACGTGACACCCAAAGTCACGTGACCCCCCTGAAGTCACGTGACCCCCCGAGGTCACGTGACCCCCTCGAAGTCACGTGACACCCCCCAGGTCACGTGACCACCCCCAGGGTCACGTGACCCCCGCCGAGGTCACGTGACCTCCCCGATGACGTCGTCGTCACTAATGACGTCACCGGCATCCGCATCGTCATCATCACTGATGACGTCATCCGTGACGTCACTGATGACGTCATCAGTGATGATGACGATGACGATGCGGATGCCCGGTGAGGTCATCAGTGACGTCACTGATGACGTCATCAGTGATGATGACGATGCGGATGCCGGTGACGTCATCAGGGACGTCACTGATGACGTCATCAGTGATGATGACGATGACGATGCGGATGCCGGTGAGGCCATCAGTGACGTCACTGAGGACGTCATCAGTGATGATGACGATGCGGATGCCGGTGACGTCATCAGTGACGATAACGTCATCGGGGAGGTCACGTGACCTCGGCGGGGGTCACGTGACCTGGGGGTGTCACGTGACTTCGGGGGGGCATCGTCATCGTCATCATCACAGATGACGTCATCGGAGTCCGCATCGTCATCGTCACTGATGACGTCATCAGTGACGTGACCCCCCCCCCCAGGTCACTTCACCCCCCCAGTACCCTTCCCTCCTCCTCCTCAAGAGCTGCGCTCTAATTCGGTGTTACAGGAAGTTGTAAACGGCTTTCACTTTTTTTTTCTATTTTGATAAAACCAGTTTGGGTGACTCTTGAGTTTAGTGGTAAATACCGAAAACACGAAACTGTAGGTCATGTCTATACTCCCTGTCACTAGTTGCGTTGCAGCACAGGCAAAGGCAACGCCAGGCGAGGGGTTAAAGGGCAAGCACAAGGAAGGCTGGGGAGGAGGAGAGAAACTTCCTCTCCTCTCTAGCGTTCCTAGTGCTATCGCTTTCTCCCCTCGCCCTTCATTGTCCTCTTCTCCCGTCCCGCTTTCTTAGTGTTCGGCCTCTCTCTCTTCGCCTGGCGTTGCCTTCGCCTGCACTGCACTGAACTAGTGACACTGACTATAGTGTTGTCTTTTCGGGGTTTATTTTTCTTGCGAGCCGCCTCGGTGGCTCCGAGGCGAGAGCGCTGGCCTACGGATCCCCATGTGACGGGTTCGAATCCCGGCCGAGGTGCCCGCCATCTGACGGAGGCTTATTGCAGAGGAGGCGCCGTGTAAACGAGCTTTCGGTTGCACGTCAAAAGATCCCCAGGTGGTTCAAATTAATCCTCAGTCCTCCGCTGGGGCGTGCCAGATACCCGTCGTTGGTTTGGCACGTAAAACCCCCAAATTTGACTGTGTTTTTTTTTTCTTTTTTTTTTCTTTTTTTTTTGCAAATCAAAAAAAGTTTTTTTAATGTTGTTTTTTTTTTGTAAAAATTTGGCTAAAGTTGAAGGAAAACGGACATTGTCATGGGAGCTTCCAAATTGGGCCAATGTTAAAGAAAAAGGACATTGGCATGGGAGTCTACAAATTCCACAGTACACACGCGTGATCCGAATTTTCGAAAACGTCCCTGTATCGATAAAAACATGAAATGAGGTAAGATAAGTGGTTATGAAGAAAAGAAGAGGCCTCGCAAAAACTTATTCGAGGCTGTATTCATGTTCAGCACAAAATAAAACTGTAAACTAATTTTGTTCCCAAAAGGTTCTTTTTTTTTTATCACTTTTCTTTTTTTTTTCTTTTTTTTTTGGGGGGGGGGGAAAGGGGAGGGGGGCGGTTTTTTTTTTTGTTTTTTTTATTAATTCGGCAGGGGGTTAATTTTCGGGGTTCGTCGGTATTTAACCGAAAACACGAAACCTTAGGATTCATGACCGAACTGTAATTCAGAACGTTCGCTATTAAATCTATAACTTGTTTTCTTTTTTTGTTCTGTCGCGCAGACCGCAAAGCCAAGGGCATCTACGCCATCTCGGTGTCCGGTCGCCTGCCTCCGGCAACGGTGAGGGAACTCAAGAGCAGGGGCATCACCTACAAGTCCAGGGACACCAGCACCGTCTAGGGACAAGACAAGGAAAAGCTGTCCGTCATCTGCGGGAAAAAACAGCCTTCTGTACCTCCATCTATTCCGAGCACATTGTAAATAAATTGATCCATGTTAGGAAGCCTTTTGTTGCCCAGTCATTCGTGCGCGTTTGATATTGGTAGAATACAAGATGCGATTCGTAAATTCCGGGACTAGTTTTGTAGCATAAAACGAGGGTTCAGCACGACGCCGCTGTTGAAGGCACGTACGCAGCTGTTGAAGGCAAGGAACTTCGTGTCTCGTTATACCAAAGGGTGTCGTTCGGCGAACGTTTAAAGCTGCATTACACGAGGGTTTCGGACCTCGTACCCGAGAACAATGGAAATTTTAGCATATGCTAAACCAGAGCGAGAGCGAACATCAATTCTGCGTCAAACTCGGCAAATCTGAAACAAAGACCTTCGAGATGATTAGGCGACCTTCCCTGACCTCTCTTCGTCCTCCAGCATCGCTGGAAAACGAAAAGAGGTCGGGGAAGATCGCCCTACTCCTCTTCGTCTTCCAGCGATGCTCTGCCCTTCTTGAAGCGCGACTACCATGCACTCTAACGGCTCGGCCTCATTACTAGTTGTCCAAGAACCGGCCGAATAATTTCAAACGTCTTTGTTTCCGATTTAGCGAGTTTGACGCAGGATAGGCCGATCTCACCTGCCAGTTTGACTGCGCCACCGCTGCCGCAATTCATCGAGGGAACTTTAGTTTTTTTGCACGTGCGACAACATCTCTGAGTATGGAGCCCCGCACGTGAAGAGCACGAGATGGCACGAGCCGTCTCAAGCACTGCCGCCTGCCTCTTGTGAACAAAAGTTATGGCGGCTTCACGCATGCACCGAACGCTTAGTGAAATCGGTCTATTGATGTTCGCTTTCGCTCCGGTTTGCAGTATATGCTGAAATCGCCATTGTTCTCGTGCACTTAATTATAAAACAACTCGTGAAGCGCAGCTCCAAATGCTCACAGAACGACAGCCTATGGCATAACGAGACAGCTGCGCGGACTGTGCTGCAGACGATGGCAAGCGGAGTGACTGGCCGCGGCCATGTCTCTCTTCGCGTGAGCATGCCCGTGCAGTTGCAAGCCTGCCAAAGCTAAGTCCACGCGCATGCTTTGCGTGCTTCCACGCATGCGACACCAGTCGGGCCGCCATGCTTGCAATTGTCTATAGTCCACGTGGGTTCTGTATCAGTTATGCGGGGCGGAAAATAAAATGAAACAGTTCAACCTGGAATATGCGAGAAAATATGGGAGGCGAAATAAGAAATGTTTGACAATCACGCATTTTTCGTAAACACCTTCCGGTGGCGTGGAGAGATCAAATCGATGTTTTACCGCATACCAGAAGTGACGACATTCAAGATGGCTGCGATCTCATTAGCCGGAGTTATTTCGCTGCCGCAATGCAATGCATCGAGGGGACGTTTGTCTCTGTGCACGTGTGGGCAACCTTGCGGTAGCACTGCGCGCGCAGAGCACAAGACGGCAGGAACCGTTTCGTATACTGCCGTCTTCCCTCATCTGAAAGTTATGGCGGCGGCGAGATGCCCTGCTTGCAATCGTCATTGCACCTTCTCCACAAGGGTGCAGCCATCTTGAATGCCGTCACCCTTGGTACGCGCTGAAACATAGTTTTGATCTGGTGACTGAGAATGAACGGAAACAGAAAAAGTATGTATTAAAAGTTTACAAAGCTTTTTAAAGATTTTCTAGTGGTCGATTGAGAAAATGATATGTGGATTTTCGACCCGCAAAAATAACTACTCATCGCAGAAAGTTGCAACTCTATAAGAATGTGGCGCTAGCGTTGGTGACATATTGTGAAAGTTTTAGGACATGACGCTACCTGAATCAAGAGATACGAGAAAAAACAAAGAACTCTATGAACTGAGGTTTGCTTAAACGAAACATTCATCACACCACGAAATGACATTGTAAACGCCCATTCCGTTTACTTTCGTAAAAAAAATATAGGAATAAAGCGAACAATATTGTCTTTATCGTTGACGAGTTCTTTCCACTGCAATTAAGGCCACAGGTGCCCACGATGTAATCTTTTGGCTCGATGAATATTAGGCATAAGTAGACGTCGGCTTATAGAAACATTTTGTTTTCCCCTTATATCTTTTTTGATCCAGGAAACGTCATGTCTGAAGCTTTCGCATTTTGTCATCACCGCTGGCGTCACGTTCTCACGGAGTTTCAACTTTCTGCTATGAGTAGTTAATTTTTGCGGGCCAAAAGATCGCATTTCATCTTCTTGTTTGTGTCCTGCATATCTCAGCAAGGCCTCTACACGTCTGTGCCCAATATTTAGACTAATTCTATCATTTGTTGCAATTAAAGTGTGACCCAAGTAGGAAATGGTATCCTGCTCCCGTTTTAAGGTTCGTTCACGCACTGGCGACTGCTTACAACAGAGTGCATCGTGACCTTTTGTGATCTCTTAGGACGAGGGAATAGACTGGCGCCATCTATCAGCTAACCGTGAAACACTTACAATTTCCGTTTTTTTTTTTTTTTTATAATTTTTTTTTATACTGGCTCGAGAAACTTGACCGGTGTTATAAATAACAATTTCTTTTAGACAGATACGTACATTTCATCTCGCAAATGCTGAAAAACCTTCCCTCTAAGCATGCAGTTCCGGGGCGACCTCATAGGTGGCGCCAGCGTGCTCTTTCGTAGCAAGATATCGACGGAGGTCGTAAGCAGTCAGAAGTGTGTGAACCAGCCTTTACTTCTGCGATGTAGCTTCGTCGAAACAGGATGTGTTGCGAGGCCCTAAATAATGCACGCATATACGGGATATTGCCTCGGTACTTGATTGACAATGAAGATGCATGGAAGTGGGACTGCTTCGGATACGGATTTTAGCACGAAATCGGCTCAGGCTTGTGTGCAGGTTTGCGTTCGACGTCGTCGTGGTGCCATAGTCCGGAAAGTTGCGGTGGGTCTCGGTAGTATCGCTACAGCAAGCGCACCACCTGAAGCAGCCATTAGAGAGTTTTAGTATACCGTTTTCATTTTCCGCTCCGCTCTGGGGGTGCCAAACTGCGCATGCGCGGCCTGCTTCGCCGGAATGGAAAGCGGAGGTCCAAAAACGCGTTTTAGTTGAGCGTTTTTCTTCAGCGTAAGAGCGTTTTGAGCGGGTTCGAAAAATTTGCTTGCGTAGCCCCACAAGTGGATGTTTATAGTACTAGTAAGACGAAAAAACCTGAACGTTAACACCAAGAGAGTGAAAAAGAACTTGCTTGTAGAGGTAGTAAAGACGAAGGCGACAATAATGAACACAAAAGAGTAGGCACAAACCTGAAGAAATATTATGCTATAAAATATAAATATAATCGTTCCACCTTGTGTGCGAGTGAAGCCGAAGGTATAAGCATGAGCACGTTGCTCTAAACGGTACTTGCACTGCACGAGCGCGCGTGCTTATCAAGGACGCTGAAAGGCCAGCACTCGCTCTTGTAGCTTCTGCTCCACTCGAATTAAAAATGAAACAGATTTACTTATTCGAAGTAGAAAAATAAAAGAAAAGGACGAAGTTTGCGCATTGCGAGCACATCCTTTTGCGTAGTACGAGTACATTGTTGCTCAAGGCTAGCAAGGCATCTGCACGATGAATCCCCGCTGTTCTCAAGGAAGGAGACTTCTATTCGTATCCCTCGTGCCATCAAGCGCCGAAGCTTCCTTTCCGAACGCGGTTTGCTGGATATTTCCAACGTAGAAAAGAAACCCTATAGGAAGCTATCCTGCTTAAAGAAGGACCTGGCTGCTCTGCATGCGGGCCTCCAAATACCAGCACCCGACAGATCGGCGCAGGGTGTTGCCAATCTGGCGAGACGCTTTGCATGGTTCTTCCTCGACTGGCCTATCCCAACCGTCTGTTCGTACTTGGATGAGCGTTTGGACGGAACTTGTCGGTGTTCTTCAGTTTGTGAACCTCATCGTGGGTCACATCTACGAGAGGTTCGGCCACCTGCTCGCTGACATGAACAAACATAGGTGGTTGACCCTGGCGAAACTGGAGCTGGGCTCACAGGTGAGACCCTGCATGGTTTGTGTAAATTTCGCATTTTCATTGTTTCTAGCACAGCTGCTCTGTCTGGTGAAAAGGTGTACATGGGCAGTGTCAGGACAAGTCACGACGAGCGCGTTCGTAATCTGTGAGTATTAGTAGGCCACTTTTATTAACCCTCTTTGCTCTACTTTACGCTCTGCGAGAAGCATCGTCCCCACCGCGCATGCGTGGCCCGCTCTGAGTTGGAGCGGAGTGAGCGTGCGCTCCGCTTCACAAGTTGTAGAGCGGACTGCCCTCAGCGTCCCTAGCGTGATCGCTTAGATCTCAAGATGGCTGCACTTACTCAATACGCGCCGATGTTTTTGACCGTGACCTCAGCTTGAAAGGGATCAAATCAAGAAGTAAAGCGTACGCTCCGCGCGTAAAAAGTAAACCATTCGATTTGAGTTCTATGTAACACAAAACAGCATAATCAAACGAAGTGAACGAGTATCACTTTGCAACCAGCACGGCGTCGGTAAAGTCGTCGCGTTTTTGTGGACGTCCTATGGCTATGCTGTCAGATATACGGGTGCGCGTGCTTGAACGCCGATTATATCTGTGCATGCGCCCTCCTGTCGAAAATGCCACTGAAAGCTGACCACGAGCATAGCGCTCGCAAGCTGCACCAAAGAAACCATTCATCTCAGCTTTATTTATTCACACTCGCTCGCAACTTTTGAATTGTTTAACTTTAATCAGGAAATGTTCGCAATGGATTTCCTTGGTAGATTTAGAAAATAATAGAAACTTGAATGCAGCCTTTTCAAAAGTGCAACCTATGGTGCCGCTAGTCTTCGAGGCTGCCTTATTTTGGCCAAGTGTCTAGGGAGCAAGAGAGCTACGTCATTCTTTGTCGCGGATGCGAGTCTAAATGTATTAGACACGAATGCTGCGTCAATACTGAATATGAAATTGATTCTAGTCACAACTCTCGCACTAAAAGCGATGCCCAAAATATGGCGGCCGAATATGTTACCCGGTGGTGTTTTGAAAAGAGTTACCAATAACGGTCGAAAGAA